ACACACACACACACACACACGCGCAACACCACATACTTTCTTATGCCAACCCCAGACGCGATCCACTGCTCCACCCTGAAACCACCCTGCGCACCACACACTCAAAAACCGTCCACACTCCACTCGTGCCACCGTCCCATCACTGCATATCGCTGCCTGGTGCACACTCAGCCCCCACATCATGCCGGTCCAGCTCCCACACGTGCGGGTGGTTGTTGCTGTGCGCCACACACCCTGCAGCTGTGGAGCATATAGATGGGTCAAGAGATATCACGACAGTATAGTATATATATATAATATACCAAATATTATATATATACTTGAGAGAGGAGGGGGTGAACGAAAGGTAGCAGGCAATCACAAGTAACCCTGGTAGAAGTCCATGACGGCGTGACCCGGCGCAGGGGGGATTTGATCCAGGGAGGGCCCCCCCCGACGAACAGAATCAACTCTTACAGGACCAAACTCAATGCACAATCCCAACTCCTGATTGTAATACATTTTTGCTAAAGCAAGGAGAACTCAGGTAGCTCAAGCTACCTTTCGTGATATATATGCGAAACCCAGTTTGTTTGGATGGTTGTCATGTGTTTGTCCCAACTGTAAAGGATCATGGGATGGTACAATCCATCAAAATGCCGGCCTAAGAACAACTGTTCAACCTGTCGTGTTCCTCATCTTCTATAGTCTATAGTGGTTCAGGAACAGATTCATGGCACAATCCCCAAGTTCGGTGGTTTATATGGATCCCCATCTGAAAGACATCTTCGGGTGTTTGTGCCATCTGCTCTGAAACAACTCTACTCCTACCTGCCAAAAGCTGTCGGCCAGTCGATCGCCATGTCCACTCCCGGGCGACCGACCCCGACGTGTGGATCCAACGTGATTCGCAGAAACTGCCCATCTTTTGAAGCGATACATGCAAAGGATCACACCCAAAGTCCCCTTATATACTTGCGTATTTAAGTCATACTATTTGTGAAAGCTCCACCGTGACGCAATCGTGTCAGGATTGGTGTTCCACCATTTGACCCAAAAAAATCCGTTTCAAGACCCGCGAATCGGAGCGATGCTCTGAAACCAATTCAGCGAGTTGCTGGTGGCCAAATTCACACAGGAGGAGGTCGTGGTCACCGGGATGATCGCCTTCAGCACCGGCTCCGGTGGCGCAAATGCAGCGGAGTAAGACCGTGTTGGATGGACATATTCCAGGTATGCTTGACCATCGAGTTGTTTGACCTTTAAACCATTGAGTCCTTTTAAGTCCAACAAAAAATGAACTGAATCAAACAATATGGGATCAGTCCATCACACTGAGAGGATCAGGCTGATCTGATCACAGTCTTGCAATATTGCTCTGACAGAACGGCTGCAACTAGCTACTTGATGCTATTAGGCTATTTGTAAATACAATCAGGTCCTGGGTGTTGATTGTCGAAGGTATGGCAAAATGGGAAAACTGCAACTTGCTGTTGATCTGGGCTTGTCCAACAAGTTCTTCGACATCAACCCCTGGATTGAAAAACATGAGAATGGTGTTCATCTACGTCTTTTTCAATCTCCTACGACACTTCTGAGGCTTCTCCGACACTGACCGTCTGAAAAACGAGGGAACGGCTCCAGGGCACAGTACAACTGTGGAAATACCGGAAGTCGTCCACGTGGTTGCAGGAGCTATCCTCGTGCGTTCGGAGCTATGAACGAGCTGGAGTTGTTGTGGCTGAAGTGGTCAACAACTCAACGTGTACGAGCTACAGTGGCTGGTATTGGGATGTTCATGGAATGAAGATTGAGAAGGGTTCAACATGCCGAACCTGTCCAAGGGGATGTCTGTTTTTTCGGAGAAAAACGAACATGTGTGGTATCTTTTCGGATTAAAAATCTATAAAAATGAACAAAAAAAACAACACCAAAGTAGTAGACATCGTAATACCTCAGGGTGAATGAGTCCCAACCTTTGGGGTGATCCTGTGATCCTACCAGGTGATCCTACCAGCTCCAGACACAGAGCTCCCGTGGGGTGGGAGATGTCGTGAATATCAATGCCATCCTCCCAGTCGACGACACTTGTCTTCATCTGTTTACGATATGACCATGTTCGCCAAGGACCACTGACCACCTGTGTAACTGTATGACATGCATGTTAAATAGACCTCTCGTCTGATCTCTATCGCTGGCTTTTGTTACATGCGGGAATCGAACCATGTTTCACATGCAGACTGCAGGAGGAGCATGTCCACCATCGACTCCCGTCTGCGAAACGGTCATCGCACGTGTCCTGCTTGAAGAGGTAAGAGCTCAGCACTTGCCCCGTGCCACACGACACCAGGTGGTTGTCCTCACGCTGTCGGCTCAAGCTGTCGGGGTAGCGGGCCAGGAGCTTCGCAACACTGACTCTGGGGCCGCAGAGTTGAGGGCGATTGGGGCAACAAGCGGCCCCAAAGGCGTCCTGCTGGTTGCTGGAGATCTTCAAGTTGGGCAAATACCTCAGTCTCCCAACATCCATGAGTCCATGAATATCACTTGTATTAAACATCACTTAAGTGCAAATCCGGGTAATTCTGTGGGTCGGTGCCCCGAGAAAGAATTGTCTTCCTGGTATTCAATGAGGATGTTCTCTCATGTTGGGTTGGACAGTTCGGACACACATGATCATGTTCAATCGATGACTCCTTCATCAATGTGCTTCTCGTGGTTAACCACAACTCCGGTGGTCTCTTCAAACGGATTTCCATGGTGTTTGAAAAAGGCCACCCCGGGCTTCGTGCCCAGATTCAGCACAACTGTGTGATGAACCACAACCGTTGTCAGGATTCTCAGGAGGTCCCTTGTCACGGTACATCTCTCAGCGATCTTCCAGCGTCAAATGACCGACGCCGGACCATCTAAGATGATGTTCCCGTGGAGAAATACAGCGATGCAGAGCTGAAGAACACCCGAAGTCATCGGACCTCCCTTCGAAAGGTCCAGAGAAACAAATCACTCTTTGACTGCACCAAGATGCTGGTTCCGCGCGCGGACGCAGGAGCCCGGCTGCAAATTCTGCCCACTCTCAAACTGGGTCCACTTGGCGACCAAGGGTGCCAAGTAGTCCAAGGAGAAGACCTTTTGCGAAGTTAAGCAGCTGAAACACCGGTGCAAATCAGAGAACTGATGGGAGAAAAAGAAACTGCTACTACAGGAGCTACAGTGGTATGAGTCTCAAAGCAAATCAACACAAACCCACCACTTTTTAGCTTTAGACTATATAAAGCTTCTGATTCAGAACCACCTCTTGGGGGATGTGACATCTGAAACCACGGTACGGTGGCATAGACTCTTTGGACTGGTGTTCTAGGACTGCTTGGTTCAACTGCTCGGACTGTTGGACTGGACCTGACCAGCTTTCAAACGGGCATCCATCTGCAGGCTTGGCCGCCAAACACATCGAATGGGCACTGATGTATGCATGTATTCTGCCATCTGTCCTTTGGCCATGCGTCTGGTGTTGCAGGGATCGCTGATCTTCATGCTTCTTACCGCAATGAGCGGTAAAATGAACATTTAAATTGGAAGATCTAGAGATCCATTTTCTTCTGTGTCTGGTTTTGGACCAAATCGCTGTCGTTAAGGATTCCCCACACCGACTCTCACGAGCCCAAAACCGGCACCTGCTTGATGTGTTCTTCCACCTGACTCTCCGGCGCACATTCCTCGGGAGACGAAGGTCGCTCAAAACATGGCGGCCATGGTCTATCCACGGGGAACAGTTCAGCCAGAAAATGGCGGGCCATGACCACCGTGGATCCAAGGCTATTTGTTGTGTTCCATATGTTTCTAGGAAAAAAATCCTCTGATGAGGAGATTCTCGCACAAACCCGTTTGCACTTTGCTGAGATGCTTTTGACAGTCTCCCTTTTTTTACACATCAAAGTGTCTCTGAAGCCCAAACTCCCCTTCCGTCCAACCTTCAGGAAACCGTGAATTCCCCACAACCCATGTCGCCCAGCAGCCACCAGCTTCCCCGACTTCGGGTTCACACAGGCCTTGGCGTTGGATGCGCCTTGGCGGTATCGTTGGGTGGAGAGTTTCTCTGTGAAACGCGGGTGACTATTTGGAGGGGTGGGGGAGGGGACGTTCCATATTTGCTGAAATAGGCCGAGGCGAAAACTCAGTGACTTGCAAGCGCTGGTAGTTAGTTGAAGAATTGAACTTCGCCAGCAAGTCCAGTGATGCGTGTGGATATTTGGCTGCATGCACTTCCCAAGTGGGCTGCCACATGCCATGTCTTTCGACCCCGCACCACATGCGAGAAGAGAGTTCTTTCATCGGATCCCGGATCGAATCCCGTCGGATCGGCTTCAGGAAGGGTGAACAAGTCCCTTGTGATGCGGGTGGATGGAGCAAATCTCGACATCGAAAAGCATCTCAGATGTTCAGTTGCTATTCCAGCTCCATTGGACATGCAAAACCATGACTTCACCACAGTTGGGAGGTGTGGAAATCAAAAAGATTCTCATAATAATATGCTTTGCAGCATTGCAGACCTCCCTTCTCAGTGAATCTGCATGCAAATCTGGCCCTCCAAACTTCATGGCACTGTCTCTCCAAATTCGCCAGACAGTACTTGAGAATACCATTGCTCATCCCTGCTCATCCCTGCGACCAGACCGACGTTGAACCCGTCGTTGAACCCGCCTTCCCGCGCACGCTCCACGAGTTGGAAGTTGCCCGGCGCCGAGTTGGACTGCTTCAGATTCCACCCCTGGACGAGCCGAGACTCCGGACGGGACCGAGGGGACGCTCGTCAAGGAACGGGACCGGTGTTCCGGTTTTGAGACTGACGAGACCATCGGATTCCATCACTTTGTGCTAGGTATAGAAGTGATGAAAGCAACCAAGTGGCTTGATCCCCAACATCAAGTGGTCTCTTCAAGACAACACTACCAACCAACCATCCGACCAACCAACCAACCAAGCAACCAACCAAGCAAACCCATCGACAACCACAAAAACAACAGGAACAACGACGACAACCATGCTGGCTACCTGGAAAAAAAGAGCGTTCCCTTTCTCAGACCACCGGAGGACACCGGTCTATCTCGGACACCGGTCGGAGGCACCTTGCTGTAGGGCGCACCACAGTCGGTCCAAAGCACCGTATCCTCTCCTAGTGGAGTTCGGTCGGTCGAGCCAGCGAGTCGGAACGAGCCAGTCGATGGGTCCGGTGGGTCCAGTGGACGACGGAACGTGCCGACTGGGTCTGGTCTCTCGAAGCCCAAAGGAGTGAGCTGCGATATCCATCCAGAGCTGTTTACAAATGAGAGCTGCCCATCCGAATGGGTATGAAACAAGGTGCACCTCGTGAAGCCAACCGGGTCTCCCGAGATCTTGAGCGATAAAGGGATGCCTTGGGCTTCGAGTACTGACGTTCTCCAAGCACAAAGCGCTAGAACACCTTTAATCGTCCAGATGCAATGTAAAAACCATCCAAAACCATGTCAATGAGCCTATCACCTGTTACACCCGTTGAACCTGTGCAAGATTCTGGACTACGTGAGAATCTCTTGTGCTGTGGACATCCGCGTTGCCTTTTCACTACGGTCCAAAACAAGAAACCAGAAAGACCTCTATAGAATCTATAGGATGTCTCGAGGCGTTCTTCAAGGAATCCATCGGAAGAATCCTGTCCTGCCCTTCAGGCGGGTCCCTGCCAGGTTGTGAGGGGACAGTTGTATCCACAATCATTGGTTGGAGAGGTGTCATGTTATAGAGATAGGGGTGGCTACGGTCTGCTAAACTTGTGAGGAATGTCTATATACAGCATGCAGCCCCCCCCAAAAAAAGAATAAGTTTCATTCCCCAATATTTTCTTCTTTAACCCAGTGCAGTTAAGCATGCAGCAAAATGTGTCAAGCAAATCAACATTAGGCAAGAATAGCAGCAAAACTGTTAAAACACAAACAAACATCTCCTTATAATCAGGCCTCCTCGATAGAATCGAGGATATCGAGGGTACATAAATTGTTTTCTACCAGAAAAAAGTACCATGGACCATCATGGACCCATGTAATTACTCCCAAAACAGTCGCACAATGTCGCAAGCGGTTCAGCCATGTACCTCACTAGATCCTTCCCTCACCCACAATGGCAGGCAGGCACAACACGGCAGCAAGCGTATTCCCTACAGGGGGGACGCACCTGCGTGCCAAACAGAACAAGTTGATGAATCATACCAACCATCAACTACAAACAGGAGCTCGTACATCAACCAGCGTCTTGGCGAACGTATGCTAGCTGTGAACCGCTCTAGTCGCTTTGGGTTGAATTTGAAGCACTTTCCCTATATTTCCCTATTGGCACACTATTCAAGAATAAACCAAAGAAACCCTGAATGATGAGGGAAACATAATCATTAATTATCTCAAATACTCCACTATTCACAGTGCTTTGTGTTGGGAGTAGACCCAGTTTGGTGTAACAAATGCCCCGCAAATCAAGTTCACGGGTCCCATCCGATCATTGGCCACACACGCGGATGTGACCATGTGTTCCTTTGATCTCTTCCCCTGCTTCGGTCAACATCACACTCCAATACGCACTCCGGTGTACCCAAGAGAGAGATGCCATTAAAATCATCTTCATCCACCGGTTGCAGTACCCCCTTAGTAGTACGTACGGGGTGTGGAAAAACGGGTGCCTGTTTCTTGGGTCGGAGCAAAAAAACGAAACATTTAGCTTCAGGTCCTTTAGCTTGAGGATCTATCCATCCCGAGGGATCCTGGCAGCGGAGACCGACCCGGTGACTCCAAGCGTCGTGCAATCTCGATCTTGTTGATGCCCGTGCCTCAGCGCAGCCGCCGCGACTAACCCAGGTGGTTTCGACCGATGACATCAGCTGCATGCTGATTGAGAAAATGTTAGAAACATCAACTGGACAGCCGCCCAGCCCATTGCGTCTCAAAGTGCTTTGGCACCTCTGACTGGATGCAGAAAACTGATGCTTGCTCCAGTGCCACAGGCCCCCTTGATAGTTTTCCTTCATATTCTTTGTGGCGGGCAGAACCCATCTTCATCAGTGGCATCGTTCAATATAATATATATATATATACCCCCTACAGGCACTCCGTAAAGACGAGTATCTTTGATCTCTCCACTTAAATGAAGTGTGTCTTCAAACCAACGCTAAACCAACCTTCGTGTCGTCAACCCATTTCCTTTGCAACTCGACAAAGGATGACAAAGGCCTCCCAAGGTCCGAAAGTCGCTGTTTGGACCAGCTGAAGCGTGGCCCACTCAGTACCCCCCAAAGCAACGGCCAAGGCCAAAAAGAACGGCAAAAGACCCCACCTGAGTTGCAGCCCGAAGGGCATCCGGAGGCCGCCTCGCCGGAGAAGACGAGGTTGCCCACCCCGGCGCTGTTGCCCGGGACGAAGACCGAGCGCTGCACGGTCTTGAAGTCTCCTGCGCTGGACGGTCTCGGACGCGGGCCGAGAGATTGGGAAATGCCACAGAAACGACCTGTACTCAGGCACGAAGGTGATAGACTGGAGTTTTTGAAGGGAACCCCTTGGGTGTGGTGCTTCGGTATTTGCCTTGAGAAGATGACGTCCAGTTTGTTTTGGTCCAAGAGTGAGTCAGAGTCGCCAAGTCTCCTTTCGCCACAGTGCCCGCAGAAACTGAAGCCATGTGACCTGCCGTCCCCAGCATGCAGGACGAGGTCTCCTTGGCAGTGCTGGATTGGAGATGTTTGATGCTATTGACTAATCATATTACATAATTATTATGTGTGCAAATATATTTTCATGTATATGTATATGTATGTATACTGTATATAATATATATACACATATCTACTATATACACACGTTTGAATCGATTATGTGGAGTCCATATGGAGAGATCTGATGAATGGGTTGATGTTCATCCTTTTCTCCACTTGGATTTGTGGCAAGGGATTTGCGGAACAAACCCGGAATCATTGCAATCTCAGGTCTACAAGGTTCCTGGTGCCTATTAGACTAGACAAGATCAACCCTGCCGGACTTTCGCTCGGTCATGTACTGAACTTGTCGCGGAGGCGATGTACAACAGATTGGACTGGCACCGTAATTAGCCAAAGCAATTGGTATGTCTGAGATGTCAGCGCGTTGGATGAGTCTGATCCATCAGGCAAACACCATATAAACACCTATTCAAAGAAAATGGGTGTGGCCATGGCCACTTTGGGCGTTCACCATGTCACCATATGTCACCTCAGTCGGGTCTATGTGGGTCTCATCCAAGAAAAAGGCCTAAACCAGTCACTTCATCAGGCGCCCAGCAGCCATGTCCATCCGCTGATCGCCGTAGGTCACCTTAACTGTGTAAGGCGTGCCACTCTGCTGCGCTGGGAGTTCGATCTCCCAGCGGGTGCCGCTGCAGACCTCGGTATTTTTTCAGGATCCAATTGGAAATGGCGGACAAGATATGGAGGTGTTTGAGGCAGTCTCAGGGTGTTGGGATGCAAATGTTTCGAGAACTTGAGGCATTTATCACTTTATCTGCAGGACTCATAGAAACGTGCTCTCGGGGGAATCTTGACGAGAAGATTGATCATGACATTCTCGCTGAGTTCGCTGAGTGCAAGTTCGACAACGTGGCATACCGCAAAGCTTTGGTTCTAGGGTGGTGTCCAATCTAATGGGATGTTGTTCGAAGAATAGAGTGGACACATGCCGACTTGAGAGAGGAGGGGGGTGAACGAAAGGTAGCAGGGAATCAGGCGTAATCCGGGAGGAGGTGAGAGGCCCCCCACTTGTTTGAAGAGAAGTGAGTGAGCGTGATGAAAGAAAAACTAATGCACAAACGCTTGACAAAACCTCCAGAAGCTGTAGCGGTCTAGCGGTTTCAATACAGGTTGACGTGCCTTCAAAGGAGTCACATATTTCTCAAATGCAAATTCGGATTTACATAGTGACGTGCGGCGACCCTGTAAATTGCGTGGCCGCAGGCCATGCTTGCAAACAGGACGTGCTCAAAAACACTGGTATTTACGAGGTTTCGTTGCCGTCGATCCACAGCCGCGGCAAGGTCTAAGGCCACGCTTGAAGACAGGAGGAGCTGAAAACACTGGTATTTACGGTATTTTGTAGCCGTCGATCCAAAGGCGCACCACGGTTGAGCGCTGGAAAAGCGCAGAAAACCGTGTAAATACCGGCGTTTTCTGCCGGGAAGGTGCACAAAACCCTGTAAATACCATAGTTTTGTGCAATTTTGAAGCCTCCAAAAGCCTCAAAAACCCTTTCTGACAAAATCTTTCCTGGTTTTTGGTCTTTTTTCGGTCATTTTTCTAACCGAGACGCATCAAAAACCATCGGTTTTTGCGGTGTTTTTTGCCGGACAGCCACAAAAAACGCTGTAAATTCCATGATTTTTGGTCACTGCTGAGGACTGGAAGAGCTGAAAACACGGATATTTACAGTGTTTTCGAACGGTTGACCCCGAGGCGCGCTAGGGTGGAGTTGAAAGGGGGGAGGGGGGGGGGGCCCCCCCCCCCCCGCCCCGCAAACGAAGATGTCGGGGACCATTTCTCCGAGAGATAGGCTGCAGCTCTGGGTTAATACATTTTTGCTAAAGCAAAAGGAAAACTCAGGTAGCGTAACCGCTACCTTTCGTGACATGCCGCCGTGCTGGCATGCCAGTTCATTGTGTTCCAGTGCTAGGGCCTCTGTTTCCTGTGGTGTTTAGGCCTTTGGTCAGACTTGAAGACCGGGCCCTATAGCCTATCACTCTGGTAGTCTGCTAGTCGAGGACCATGGAATCTCTGGAGTAAACTCACAGACCGAGTTCGCTTCTCGCTGGATCGCTGAGCACCGCCGAGGGGCGTTGGCCAAGTCCAACAACAAACTTTGGGTGGTCTCCCCAGTGACCATGTCGCTGATGGTGACATCCTTCACCTGGTTCAAGCGCGGCAAAGCCGGGATCAAAGTGATCAAGTCCCACAAGCCTACTTAATGAAAGCGCCCCAAGGCGAGGTGTATATATATATATATATAGTTATATGATGTTGTATATGTTTCATTGATACTGGTTGTCACTCAGGAAGCAACGTGGTCCCAGGACATCACATGACGACGACCAAGAATTGTTGATGATTGACGCCTGTTTCATTGCAGGTTGCTTCAGCTGCTACGATGCCTGTCTGAGTCTCAAAAACTGGTGGTGTTTGGAGGTCAGTAGGTTTATGTAGCTTTGGTAGGTGAGGAGTCCAGTCATGTCCAGTCCAAAGAAGACCTTCTGCTTCTTGCGCCCCACAGCCTTATTCCAGTCTGCTACGGCTACTGGTCTTTCTGTACTCCTTTGGAGTCTCTTCAGCAAAATCATATCTTCTGTTACATTCCTCTTCACCGTACGCATCACGTTGCTTCCCAGTGCCCTTTTTCAAACAAACAACCACAGGTCGGAGTTCATCACAACCTGGGCCCCAAGCAACAGCCGCCCCACAACCCCCCTCAAAAACCAAACCCCAAAGACCACAAGATCCCAACATCTTCCAACCCTACGTCACTCCACGTCTTCCGGAGTCCAACCCGTCCAACCCGTCTTCCAAGGTGCCGACAAAGTGATCGGCTTCCCACCAAGCTCCCGGAACTTCATGTTGGCGTTTCCGGTGTTGGCCGAGGTGATCGCCACCGACTTGTAGACGTAGCCCTGAACCGCCACCCGGGGTGTTCCCCCGGGTTCGGAACAGAACCGGCATCGGCCGAGTCACCCGAACAGTGCCAACAGAAAGGACATGGTCTGGTTGCTCCGGGGTGTCCTGTGAAACCCTGCGTGCTGATCATTCGGAGCCTTCAATGAGTCCGATGAGAGTGCAGGCCTGAAAATAGTATAGGGAGCGGCCCAACTTGCTTGAAAGATCTGTGGTTCCTCGTGGACGTGGTGCTACGGTTCATGTGTTTCTCTTCGGATATGAAATTGTTGTCACCCCAGAGGACCGACCGATTCCTGCAAGCCAAGACCTTTGTTCTTCTCAAGCACAAACCGGGCATGCGTAAGTGCACAATTGGGGTCGGAGTTGTTGTTCCTCCATAGGCGTGCCCCGGTTCAGGCGGTTGCGCTGGGCCTCTACGGTTTCGGGCTGCAGAGTGGTGACTCTAGATCTTTGGCAGGTGACAGAACACGAATTGGAACACAAGATGACACAACACGTGCCACAAGATATGTCAGAACGCAGGTCAGAACAAATGTCGGAACACTTGTCAGACGAATGTCAGAAGAACAAATGTCTGAACATACGGCAGAACACACGTCAGAACACAAGTCAGAACAAAAACCACAACATATGTCAGAACATGTGTCGGAAAATAATGTCAGATTTGATGGCAAAACACAGAAATGAAGTCGGACCACATGTCAGAACTCAGGCTAGATTATGACACAGCACATGTTAGAACACATACACGACACCTCTGATAGCAAAACAAGTGTTACATATCAGAGCCGAAGTCGGACAATATGCCGAAGAACACATGCGAGATTTAACACAAGCAAGAACGACTTTTCCAAGTACATTCCAGAGGATACGTCAGAACACATGTCAGACTTAGTCTTAGCGGCACGGAATGTCAGGATGCACATGCCAGAACATGTCCCGCCTGAACACATTGCAGCAATGATGTGTCAGAACACATGGGCAGGGCACATGCCCAAACCAGTCTGTCAATACATTTTACCTGCCTTCGTCCAAGTTCTCGCCTCGCCTCTTAGGGTGGGGATGACACGAAGTAAGTAAGTAAGTAGGTAAGTAAGTAAGTAAGTAAGTAAGCAAGTAAGTAAGTAAGTAATGGGTAAGTAAGTAAGTAAGTAAGTAGGTAAGTAAGTAAGTAAGTAGGTAAGTAAGTAAGTAAGCAAGTAATAAGTAAGTAAGTAAGTACGTAAGTAAGTACGTAAGTACGTAATATTGATTATATTGATTGTGTCAGGTCTTGCAGCGGTCATATTTCCCACTGTTGCTTTCTCGCTCGGCGAATGGTGTCAGCATGTGTCAGCCTACAGACTGTCCACTTTGTCAACAACTCTCAACTATTCATTCCGAACTGTGACGGACTCGTCGCTGGAAGAAGTGTCGAGGCCTGGCTCAAGAGACATACAAGGCCCCTGGTGTAGTTCAGGAGTGGATGAAAATCCATGAAAATCTCAATCGGCCAGATTTTGTTGGGTGATCCAGAAAACCGAGTCCACCGGAAAAAAAAAAATCACTCATATGTTATCGCACAACGGCTACACTTGTCGCCCTTGGAGTGTTATTAAGTTGCTCAGCACCCTGCATCCAAAAAAAGCGTTCCGAGTTGAGCTTGAAGCTGCTTCTGAAAGGCATGAGACTTCGTCAGTTGGTGTGTCAACCTCAACTGGCCGACCGCCGTCCGACGCGACGCCCCCGCGCCGCGGTGAGGTCATCCAACTCGGTGATTTCGTTGCCAATGGACACACGCAGGCGGCCCACCGCTTGGGTGCAAAGCCGGGTGACGGTGCCTGAAGAACGCGAAGGTGGGCGGGCGGTCAGACGGCGGAAAAGAGGTTGGCAAACGTAGAAGTGTCAATATAGAGTGTGGATTTAGCGTTTTGGAATGTTTGGGGCACATGTTTTTGGGAGTGTTACGAAGTCTTTCTGAACTGTTATTTCCTTTATATGTATGGAGCTATTCCGCCACAGGTGGCCTGGTGGCCCGACTTTCAGCTGTTTCTCCTCTCTAAGTTTTTTTTGTAATGTGTTCGGAGTAGATACAGAAGGTGGCTCACATTGGCCCCCCATCCTGGTCTAAACGTGATCTACGCTTCAACTAAACCAACATGTCAGATGCCGTGATTATCACAGTTCCACGCTTTTCACTCCCCTGCTCCTTCACTTTACCCCAGCAAGTTCCCAATTCTCCTTCGACCCCTGCTTCCCATCCCAACTCCATCCGACACATTTCCAGCCACAACAAATTCCGCCCCGCCAGTCCCGCCTGAGGCAGAGCCAAAGTTTTTGGAGCAGCTGCCGGTGAGCTTTCCGACCTGGTAGTTCTCGGCAGGACAAGAGCCCTCCGTGGAGGAGTAGCAAACGCATCCAGCACCTGGGTCCACGCGTGACTGCCGTGACTTACGCGATAAACCATTTCCAGCTGCCGAGGGTTGTATTCAACACCTCAGCTGGTCGACCTATGCCATCCCTTACAAGCAAATCATTTGAGTTTGGTCAGTTGGCCAAAAGTTTTCGGCCCAAAACTGTAGGTTGTCACGAAGAAAGAAAGCATCGAATCTGATCAACCACCAAGCTTTGTGTTTCTGTCCATAATCATCGTAACTGAACAAAAGGACTCACCCTTGGCCCTTGGCATCCCTTGGACGCCTCACCGCCATCTACAAGTTCCTGCCGGACGCCACACCGCCGAGCACGGCAAGGCACTGTTGTGGGTGCTGGGGCAAGCGGCCGGAGTGCGCGTTCCGGAGCCACTGGAGGAGGCAACCACCTGGCTGTCAGCTGTCAGCGGTGCTGTCCAGTTAATATACTTACCTGAGGTGGTGCAGAATTTGCTGTTGTTGTTGTGGTTTCTCAGGTGGTTGAGGATTTCTTCCAACAGTAGGGATTTGCATAGTCCTGAGAAGCATGGACTTCCATGATGGGTTTCTCTTTGCTCGGAACCTCATGGCCAAATTCTGGGGCCAAGGGCCTGAATCATCTGCAGATCTGCAAAGACGTGAAAGGCCCTCAAACATCTTCTTTGGATTGATCTACAACAATAGCAGCAACAACAACAACAACAACAACAACAGTATATATCAGTATATCCTTAACACTGTGGCCTCGATACATTTCTCTCACATCAACGACCCTTGGAACTCCCTCGACAAAGCAGTTGGTGTTGGTCAAGATTGGTTTGAGACGAGACGCCAGCTCAGGGTCCTAAGACGAAAATACGGTGAGTGTACCACGAAAATACGGCGTGATGATGACGACGATGATGCGTGAAGGCCTTTAAATTCCTAAAAGGTATGATGCATGTCTTCTGCAGAAGAATCCAACGATCCCTGTTTGGAGGAGGCAGCCCAGAGGGCGCTTAAACTGTGAATGAGGTAGTGTGAATGAGGAATGTGGGCAATAAAGTGAAAGCCGTGCTGTCGCTGCGTCTTGGACTGCTGTGGCTCTCGTAAGAGTTTGAACGCTACAACCAGTTCAGGAGTTCAGAAGCGCTGCACAAGTTCAGCTTGGATGACCACATTGGTCGTCATATGATGTGACTGGCTTTAATGGGGGCATGACTACATACCTGCACATTGAGACTCATGCACGCAGGGTTCTACCACTTGCCCCTCCTGGCTACATGCTTTGGAGGTAATTTCCACATCGACTTCTTGTTTGGTTGATGCAAGTCCTCTCTCCTCTTCTGAGTCCCTCAGCATCAGAGCATCCTCAAATCATTGGGGCAAGAGAAAGTGAGACCAAGGTTGAGGCCACAAAACCACAACGGGGGTGGAAAGCAGGGTGGCATCCACATAGATATTGAAGCTTCTCTCAAAGGAGGCCCCTAGCCCCAAAGTGATGGATTTCATCCCCTTGATTAAGCTGCCCTTTATTCTTGTTGCTCCTTTCTGCAGACTTTCTGCTGGAGGACACCTCACAATACGGGCCTAAATCAAAAGGGTCTTTTTGCTCTCCACTAGGCATCGTCAAATCCGGAAGGAGTCCGCAGAGTCCCGTCGCAGAGTCCCGTCCGCACCTGTAAGTTCTGATGCGCCGTCGAGCAGGTGGCCTTGGCCAAAGTCATCCTTGGAGGACGAGTCGGGTCGCAGTGACGATCTGAAGCCGAGGACTTCGCGTATTTGCTCTGAAAAGCGCTGGTAGGAATAGGCTACTTAGAAGCTACTAGGCAGAGGCCATCGCTACTAGGTGGAGGCCATCGCTACTAGTAGCGAAAATCATACAAACACTTCCCCGAGAATGGAACTACAAGTAGTAAACAGGGTCAACATGGTTTTGAGGCGTTTGGTTTCGGCTAACAACCGTTCCTGCTGCATGAACAAACGTGCACATGAAGAGTTGCAAATATTGATCTTGTTTTAGCTTTGTAGGGAATGAGGAAGTGGATCCTGAAGAATCTAAATGAGAGCTCATTCTATCATTCCCAACATTCCCTACTACCATGTTCTATTTCTTAGGGCGTCCGATAAAGGCATCCTGTTCTCCCCTTCCGCCCGAGCGTCGCTCCGATGCAAGCTGTTTGGATGCTGCACTTCCCGCTGCCGATGCATCCAATTCGGCAACCGCTACCTCGGCGGATCACGGCGTCACGTGGCGATCGTCGCACATCCGGTTCTTCCAGAACGAAGAAAGGCTCCTGGACGTTAAACACGTGGGTGTGTTGGACCCTTCATTGATCTTCATTGTGCAGTGGTTCGTGGGGTACAGTTGGCAGAAGGCCTTGGAACTGGCCTTGGACCAACCAACTTTCCCTTGGACCATCCACAATCGTCATGCTTCGAGTCATTCTTGAGCCGCTTCTTGTCTCACTCGAGTTGCAAGTCAGCGAATGGGTCATTCCACAAGAATGCCTAAGAAATTCCAATTGCTACACGTTTGTCTTGTCACTTTTGTAGGTATGTGTATTTTTGGGGAATGTTTGTGGTGTTAATGGGTACGTGACAAGACTACACCAGCATTGCTTTTCTTTTTTCGATCGTTTCTCATGTCTAGTACGTAGGTCATTGCTTAGGTCAATTCTTCGCTGTCATGTTTGGTCGCTGAAAACTCCGAAGGGCTCCGTCTCGACGGTGGTCGAAAAGCAGCATGTCGACTCGGTGAGTTCTCAGGTCTTGTCGACTCCTCGTTCTCACGGTGATCGGAGGCTGACTGACCGATAGGCTGACTCGTCGCGTTGCCCTTTTTTCAGCATGTTTCCGTTGGAGTCTCTTTGTTGTCTCTGGGCTGCTTGCTCACAGTCTTTCAGCCGCATGCGCTCTATTTTTTTCTTGTCCCGAGAAAGGGAAATAACCCGGCAGTTGCCTAAAGCAGTCTGCCTCAGTCTGTGCATGGTGAGAGTTCTCGATTTTGGAGTAGTGAGACTGGCTGAACGAGTCGATGCCATTCATGAAGGAAGGATGACCGTCATGGATGTTTTCTGGATGACCGTCATCTGGACCGTTTTGCCCCAGGCGAGAGAAGCCCAAACTCCATCCCGAAACCCTTAAGCGAGGTCTCTGCCGAGTTGCTGCTGCAATCCCACATCCGCATGGTGTCATAGGTCTTCTCCTCTTAAAAGGACTCACTGGGTCGGACGGCCGGCAACATACGTAGTGCTCTTTAATGGCTTTAATCTATACATTTGATACCGTTTGTACGTAATGTGCTGTTCTCGCCGTTGTGCTGCTTCTCGCCGTTTCTGAAGACAGGTTCATGAGGGTTCCAGGCACTTCGTCCCGCTTAGAAGGGACAGCTCAAAGTGCTGAAGGTTATATCTGCTATGTTTTGCTGTTCTCAGGAGTGAACGGGTGTACCCTTTCTATGGCCAAGAAATGTCCACCGAACTCAGCGAATCTCACACACGACCATCTGTGCCTTTGTGAGGCTCCACACTCCGATGGGGTCCTCAGGGGTAGGCTCGCGACAGATCTAGGCGACAGTGAACGGAGGTTGATGTGTCGAGGGGGCACAAAGCCTTGAGCACGTTCAGGCGATTTGTGTCATGTGTTTCTCCGAAATGTTTTGGGTGTCTCATATACCGAGGAATTCTTTTCAGTGGTGGTCGATCACTCGGAAGCTCCCGGTCCAAAATGCAAGGGGATATATATATATATATTAATTGGTATCATTCCCACACAAGTCACATAAAGTGTTGTGTTGGAGTTTGCCCATGTCTGCCTACCATTGCCATGGCCTCTAGCAAAAATCTATCCCTCACATGTTGTATACCAAAATATGGTGTGACGCCCCACTTCAGAACAGCTTCTCACATGTCCAAATCCCTGCCAACTGAACAAAAGCACAGCTCAGTTGACCTGACCCAAATTCGCTCTGTTGAACCGTTTGACTATTACCCACTTGGACTCCTGAAAACCGCCCGACTGCCAAGCACATGGATTGGAACCCGGACCGGTTGGGCCCTGTCCGCCCAGGCCCTCCCGCCAGCGACTTCGCTGCCGAGGCGCGTAGCCGCTGGGGCAGCTGGATCGATCAGACCAACCGCCACCGGTCTTCTCCCTCAGAGTCCCCGCCTTGACACGGGAGTTCCTCGCGGCCGAGACCAAGTGGGAGGCTTCAGGTGATTTGAGGTACTTTGGGTCGGACCTGACGAGTTGTTCTTCGTTCCAGGAAAAGAGACACAAGTGGTGGATGGGTCTGAACACCTCTCAAACGGGTTGAGGTGGCAGTGAGACCACAACGAGATGCCCCAGTGCTAGGTAGGTGTACGAAAGAAAGACAAATCAGAAACAAATGTCTTGAAGGTGCCGCCCTTTGCTGATGCCCCCTTGTTTCCAAGCATGCTTGATCCAATCCGCTCGTCCGTGATCCGCGGAACTCCTGAAGCTACCCCTGTTCCATCCACATGGACCCGTTGTATGCTGGACCCATGGAACCGAGGGAAATCTCCAGGACCAATGGACCGCCAAGAGCTTGATCGAAGATTCACCAAGCCAAGGGGTCCCATTTCAGGTCTCCCTGCTTCAACAAAGCTACACACACCGACCCGTCACAAGGATCGAAGGGGTCGGATCGCAGGAGGTCCCTGGCAAAAGGTGACAGAAACATACAGAAAGACAGAAACCTATTCTTCCTCCCCGTCTTCAAATCGGAGGAAAACATGTGGCAAAACATGTACAATTAAAATATGATCGGATTGTGATTGAAGTTCGTTGAACTTCGTTGAAGTTCATCCACCCAGTATGAGTTGTTTTGATGGAAGAGTTTCTTACATCAAAGGTAGAGGTAGTGAAGGGAAGCAAAGAAACAATATATCATATACTGAGTAAGCTGCTGCCTACAAAATCTCTACAGTAACCCTGCGCGTCGCGCAGCACGAACCCTGCTCCTCACACAGGCGGCCCTCACTTTGGTCCCATACTTGGGATTCTTCGCTCTGCAGCCTGTCCCTGTGCACTCCACCTGCACAGTAGCGAGCCCAAAAACGGCGGAGGAGGACCAGGCATCCCTTTGAGGACTATGTAGGCCCACGCGACACATCGACTTGACTTGGAGTAAAATCAAGATCAAAGTCCCCCCCCTTACCCATTCAAAGTGACCAAGGCCACTGAAAGTGACCAAGGGGATCAAATGAGCAACTCCAATCGTATCGCTGGGTCCACTGGACTTGACGAACGACGCCGTGCGACCGCGCTGGCACCTGGTCCACGCTGCTGACTTCGCCGTCCACCAAGCTACCTCTCAACCTGGGCAGTGTTTGATCGAAGCCTTCGGGTGTCAAACCGTGTAGACGACGAAATCAACACCTCCTCGGATTGTCATGTGCTGCATGCGAAATCCTGTGTGTATATATATATATATATATATCTGTGTGTGTGTATGCATGACAAGATCATTCTATGTCATCGTTCATCTAACTTGCTTGGGGCTCCGGTTGACGTGAGTGTGCACAAATCGGCGGCAATTTGAAAATTCATCGGACAAACAAGTACAAAGCTGCAACTTTGCTTCACCCAAGCGACTGGCAACAGGATGATGACTGTTTGGACAAATTTTGGGGCATGGACAATCCAAGCATTTCTATGCATGTCTATTTGTCCAACCTGCATTTGGAATTTTGGGAGAACTGTTGGGCATTCGGCTGTGTTTCTTGGGTGACCTCTTGAACAAGCAGGTGCTGCACGACTGACACCTGATTCTGCTCAAAGACATCGGGCATCTTCACAGATACAGTCGACTGAATACCTTTGATGGATTCTTATTTCTATATAGCTGCTACCATGTATGGGGAAAACATCTTCAACGGTCGGAACCATATAAAGGCATGCAAGCCCGAGCCCAAAAAATGCTGAGACCTCTTCAAACATCAAGCAAATGAGTGAAGGCTTGCCTGAGAAAGATGCGCAAGAGCAAGTGATGGCGATGGAAGGTCCTCCAGCCCTGAAAAAGCCCATACACTATCTACCATCCACCATTCATCACCACCACCCACCATCTGTTCCGCACATTTCACCTTCCATGCCAATGTCATCTTCATAGGGGTTCGATGCTAGGTTCGTTCTTCCTAACATGGATGGATAAAAATGTTGAAACAAAGATAGATTGGATGTTTCAATTGAATCATGGAATGGGAAAATGAAGATGAAGATGAATAGGAAAAATGAGTATGAGTAGGACATCAAAGTAGGTGGGTGGTGCTGGTGATGAGGTGGATGGTAAAAACGGGTGAGCGAACCTAGCATCAAACTCCCAAGCTACTCATATATACACCTTGGATCACCTTGGATTCAATCCATTTGTTCATAAGTGGGTTACCAATTCTTCGTTCCACCCTTGACAAAGTCCACAATATTGTTTCGTGCTGAGGGCTGTGGGGGGACAACAGGGCCTAAACCATTGCTCGCAAGCTTACAAACCCAAGTTCCCAGTTTTCCAATCAACATCAATCAACTCAACACCCTTCAGGGCCTTCAGGTTGTTCGGAACTTTTGGCGAGTCAAGAGGATGTCTGAGGATTTCAAGGAATTTCGAACTGGAAAGAAACTCCCAAATCCTTAACTCCCAGACTTCTCCCCACAGACTTCAGTCCTTCATCTGAAGTTCCCTTTCGCCCCAGCTTCACAGCTTCCCCCAGCCGAGTGGCACCAGCCGCCGGAGCCCCACCGCAGAGAAGCCGCTCGGGCAGTTGGACCACGGCGTCCACGAGCCGCCCGAGGAGGATTGCTGGGCAGCGGGAGCCGGTCGGTCGGCAGCGGGATCGATGGTTGGGGGGGTCGATGGCTCCCAGAACCACACCGGAGGAGAAAGCCCACAGGAAAAAGAAACGCACGATGAAGGTATGGTCACACCATGGTCTGTTTGCAAACCTCAAAAAGCTTCATGCCCCATTTGACCCATTTGGTCATGAAAATAATGACCATCAGAACCAGCGTAGAACTCTCTTTTCACCTGCAAAACTTGTCCTTTTAGCTCCTCACGCGACCAGCACACAAGCACAAGGTGTCAGCGCGTACCTGCTGAGGCCCCTCAGTCACGTCATCCGTGCCGGCACCCTCCAGGCAAAAGGGCATGATCTTGCCTCACCAAAGAGTGAAGATGATGGGTCAAAACACGCACGAAAGCCCACAGTATCAACACGTCACCCAGAACGAGCGTTCAGAGAAAACCCTTCCGAGATCTTCCGAGTCAAAGCAAGATGTTCTAGATTCTTGGACTCAGTCGATCGCTGAACACACCGTTGCACAGTTCTGGGTGCTGAGGAAAAGCCAGTGCACAATTGGGGGTTCGCTTCCAGGCAATAGTCACAGCTAGTCAAACCCACACCTAGTATGTAGTTCTTGCTTGACTCTAGCTGTGGGCTTGTCCAACCTACAGTCAACTCTAGATTCCACAGCTCGTCTCAAAGTGGAAGCGAACGAACCTAGGAGAGTGATATTGGAGGCCTTAGTAAACCTGAATCGACTGGTTTGTTGTTCGAGGACTTCAGGTTGGTATAGATTGCAAGATATAAATAACAGTCTCTCATTGCTAACTTAGGAATAATTGCCCCGGCAAACGCCCCTAACTTACTAATTTCGCAAAACATCGGGATTCCCGCGGCGTCCAACAACCTCCTGGACCCAATTCCCGGCGGCCAACCAAGTCCTGAAGAAGGAACCACATAGCCGGGCACCACCGCCGATGTAAGCACGAAACACAGATACAATGAGTCATGACCGGGTGGTGCCTTCCAGGTAGTGGTGCCTTCCTGCTGGATTCAAAGCAAGCACGCATATCATATGAAGAGTCACTTGGAGTCAGTGTTCCACGAGAGTCTTTTGAGGGGTCGAAAGTGTGTTTGTGAACTCGAAAATCATTGCACCCCTTACCCTTGGGTGATAAACCCATTGGCCTCGATGGAAGTGAGATGACGACAAAACCATTCACCATGTGCGTTCGGATTTGGTTCTGATGTCTGCCCCGGTCCGTAGGTCCCTAGGTCCGTCCCTTTGGGGTTCCAAGCCGTCAACAAACATCCTGTGTTCAATGACAAGCAAGTGCTTTTGAGTTCTACAAAAGAAAGCATGCCAATAGCACACCAAAATACCTTGGCGCTTGAACACCCAAATCTCTGGGTTACCTCAAGGGGCCTGCCTAGCACCACAATGCCCTTCCACCGGCAGGTGATGTCAACCTTCAACTGGCAAGCCCCTCCACGGTGCCACGGAATTCTGGTTACCTCATCTAGACATAGGCTTTATGCTTTATCCCTACCCAGCTAGAAGGGGCACGTGCCCGGCACGACCCCGTGAAGTGCCCCGTCAGGTGGCATCGGTCGTTGTTGCAAACGACGCCTCAGTGAGGCGCGCAGGTCGGTTCCAACGAAGGTTCGAGTGCCAAAACCAGAGCATCCAACCAATTCCCGCAGGCGCAAAGGACGGTCCGTTCAACGGGGAGCAGAGGACGGAGGAAGAGGAGCGCCCCTGGGATCTTTATCCGTAACCCATCCATGGATCTTGGAGGCGTCGGCACGTCTAAGCCTCACCAACAGTGTATGATTTAAAAGAAAAAGCGTCTGGGCCTTCGACGAAACATCGTAATATATATATATATATATGTTTTTTTGTGGTGTTCATTGCTTTTCCACTTCTACGGGGTGGGCAGCCCTGACATGTCTGGCTGCCAGGTTTTCTTCAAATTGAGCACAACCACTAGTATTCAACTCTCATGGGAATATATCATCAGTGGCACAGCTACAACAGAAACACGGGGTCATTTGGGACAGTGCAAGGCTCCCTTACGCCTTACGCCACAAGTGTCCCCTACGACATGAGGTCAACTCCGCCACCCCACCACGGCCCCCCACACCACCTCCAAACCCTCGGCCTGGTGCATTTGTGCCTCGGCCTTTCTCCAAAAAACGAAACTGGCTCCGCGCAAACTTTCTTTATGGGTAAACGTTCGCCTTTGAAGTAAGGCCCTGATTGCAGATCAAAGATCTGAAGACGCAGGCAAATGTTAGGTGTGTCTCTTCCGATGCATAGACATCAAGTGCTGTGTCCGGACTCCTCCCATCCTCCCATACACTGCAGCTCAAGTTCGGCAGCCCTGGTCATTGCATTCGAAGGCCTTGACCACAGGCCGCACTTGTCGGCAAACGAAGCGGACACTCCTGGCGATCAGGCACGAGACCGTCCGAGCGATTGATGTGGCACCCCAGACCGCAGGCTTCACGCTGATAGTAATAGGGATCCTACTAGTTCCAAAGGGTTTTTTTGTTAACCACCCTTTGGACGCCGTGGTACTTGAATCAGTCAGAAGCCATAACAAGTCATACCATGATGATATGTTTCCTTCTCCGGAACCCAACAATCAACAGTTTTTTCTGCTTGACAATGGAACACCCATGGTGTGGCCGGGGAAATTTGACACAGCCAAGTTCCATGTTTGAATGAAAGCCTCCCCCCCATAGTTGCTCTGGAAATCCAAATTACTTCGGATTATAGAACTAAAATTGCGGGGGGCTTGCTCATCAAGATCAAACATGAACTCTGGACGGTCCTCGAACCAGAACAGCCAAACTAAGTCCAAGCAAAAGCAAGCAAACAGTTGCCAAAGATATGTTCTTTCGTGGTCTCCAGATGCATAGCTTCACATGTCCGATCGTTTCGATCCAGAAGCAGATTCAAGCACGTGATCTAAGTTCTTGCGGAGGGGTCCACTGGGCTCGGATCACTTTGGGATGTTGCCCATGCGGATCTCACGGGCATAACATGATGTCATCTCTGCCATGACATGATGTCACTGCCGTCCCTGGCATGACATGATGTCACCCCTGGGCGTGACAAGATGCCACCCCTGGCGTGACATGATGTCATCCCTGGCGTGACATGATGTCATTCCTGGCATGCCGTGCTGTCATTCTGGGCACGACATGATGTCATCCCTGGCATGACAGCATGTCATTCCGCACATGACATGATGTCACCCCTGGCAGGACATGATGTCATCCCTGGCATGACCTGATGTCGTCATTCTGGGCACGACACGATGAAATCCCTGGCATGAAATGATGACATCCCTGGCGTGACCTGATGTCATCCGTGGCATGACGCAAAACGAAACGCCGATCCAAAGCCAGCGCCTGCACCAGCACCAGCAAAGCAAAACGCCGATCCAGAGCCAGCACCTGCACCTGCACCAGCATCAGCACGGCAGCAGCACCTGCAAAACCAAAACGCCGATCCAAAGCACCAGCACCTGCACCAGCATCAGCACGGCAGCAAGCACCTGCACCTGCACCAGCATCAGCACGGCAGCAGCACCGGCAAAACCAAAACGCCGATCCAGAGCCACACCATTGAGAAGTGTTAAACCCCTATAGCCTGCAGCTATCTGGGAAAAACCTGTTGTTGCAACTTCATGGTCTTCAATGGGATTGGATTTGTATAGATCTGAAAGGCTGGGGGCAAGCCTTTCTTCTTGTCATCTTGGGGTTGCTATTACAAGGCAATGATTGAGGGATCTGAATGATACTTCAGCGGACACTCTTTGCACCGTCTCCTCCGGCGGTGATACTCTCGGAATCCGGCCTCGGAAGCACCAATGGCACAGACTGTTCGGAGCATCAGGTGGGGTTGACGAACAAAACAACTTGTCCTAATGAAGAGGCCAATATATGCCAATATGATGTGATTGAATGTGCACAATGTCAATATATGCTTTTTATATATAAATATCAATAGTATTGAAGCAATCTAGTTATATAATATACATATATATATATATATACTTTGGTGCAATATGTTTCAATCACCTGGGTTCGCTACGGTAAGCCAACTACTTACAGGACATGCAGGGTTCTTGTCCAGCAACTTAGAGAGTCTCCCGACTTGGAGAGTCCTTCCACAAAAGCAAGGTACCTCCCAGACGAGCTGTCCTTAAACCCCATGGGCCCATTGTGGCGATACCCTAGGAGGTGTTTAATTCCTGATTACCATACAATATTTGCTCAACATACTAGGCTTGTGTCCAACCAGCCTATGGAAGATCATCCGAAGTCAGAATGCACCAGTCTTTCGGGTAATCCTCCGACGAATCGTCGATTCGCTCGCCTGGGCGAGTTGTCCGTCGCTATTCGTCGATCCAAGCGTCGATGAGTCCGTCCTCCTTGCAGCTGTCTTCCACATAGGCGGAGTTGTGGCTTCCGCGGCAGTAGCCACCACTTCCTCCTCTGGTGCGGCAAGAAGAAGAACGAAGACAGTCCAAACGAGTGAGGGCTAGCGCACAAGAGAAACAAGTCAGTTGGAGAGAAATAGAGGGGAAAGATGCAGGCGAAAGAACAGGGACAATGCCGCTGGAGTTGGGTGGACGACCTCCATCAAATGATCGATCCTGATCAATGATGATCAATGATGATCAATGTATTTGTGCAGTTTGTTCTGACGTCACTTTGCACAAGCCTCAGCACATAACCCTGATCTTACTGCTGAAGGAAGAATAATGATTTGTTGCCCGCCCAGACTTTCTTTGGATGTTCCTCCATCATGCATAGCAGTCAAAACCGTGTATAGCTATGGCGCACGAATAAATGCGGCATCCAAACTCACTACTGAAAAGGCATCCAAACTCACTGTGGTGGACCTCTGGAAGCCTTTTTAGGCTTCATTTCGCAGCTCAAAAACTGTTGGTTAGCAGGATTGTAGTGGGTCAATATTCAATTTTTAGAGGATTGTATTCTGACACCCACGATATCAGCGGCTTTGACGACCTCGGCCATGCTCCGCCCCCCCGGTATGGATGTCCTGCGCCATCCAAACACAACTGGCGAGAGTCCGGGAATCGGTGAGCTGCCGACGCGCCGAACTGCCTAGCCTAGCCATCTACCTTCCCGGTACCTGTGCGAGCGAAAGAGCTCAGATATGCCTAGTTTATCCACTGGTCCAAGCTTCCCAGCTGCTCATGGTTGGAGTGTTTGGAAGGTAGGACATGGTAGGAGCCTTGTTTTTTGGAGTTTACATATATATATATATATAAGTAACCTGTGATCGTTTTTATCTCTTCCAAGATGACACGAACCTTTTCTGGTGAACACTTAGGTTCCACGACCAGGTCTGTGGCAAGATGCCATATATCATATATCCACTAAACCCAACTCATTCAGGTGAATGCTATCTACGTTATGGACACAGAAGCGTCGACGTCGCCCATGGTGTCCGTGTGAGCCACCGCCATCCCTAGCTAAGACGTACTCCAGGGCACTCACGCCGTGTGTAGGGGGCAAGTTACGGAGTCTTCCACACTTGGAATACAGTAACAGAAGGCAAAGGTCGCAAGTATGATCCACATTCGGCACATGTTCCCTTTATATCCCTTTATCAATCTTGATCATGTTCGTCCATTAGTCCAGGAAGTTTCTAAGTCTCCATCTACAAAATGTATAAATGGCGGGCGAAATGGCATGTGATCTATATTTGCCAAAGAACGCGCAGTGGAAATGCAATGAATCATTGCCTGGGCACCTCGAGCCACAACTTGGGACCTGTAAGAGTTTGAGCCGACCAGTCGACTGGTTCTTTTTGGAGGGACATATCCATATGGCAAACTGGTCCACCCTCGCCCAGCGAACGTAACAGCCGGAACGCTGGATCGTTCATTTTTTCCTGCAACAGGTCGGTCTCGAGACAGGGAGTCTCCCCCGGAAGTTCGGTGCGTTCACCGCCGTTCGTCTGGGGTTCAACACCAAGTCGTTCACCGCCAGCGTTCTCAAAAAAGACAAATACGAAGCCCGTGGGGATTGCAATCTTCTGAGTAGTCTGAATCACAAGCTGAATGTTTTTTTTCAGCTATCATCTCTCACACCCTCAAGTGGCTATATTATCCAAAACGTCTGGCTGCACCTGCACCTAAGGTTCCCAGTCACGTATACTTGGCCAGATTTGGACTGGAGTTGGTGGATAAACATCTTGGATTTCCACATAATCTTTCTCGAAAACCGGTCCAACAGTGTTGACAGGTCCTGTCAGCTGAGAGCTCGGTCTGACGCGCCAGGTCCCGTGCCTTGTCCAAATTGCCACCACCCTGGCCATACGCCTTCCGTGCTCCTCGGTCACTGTTCCTCAGCGGAGCGGCGCAGTCCATGGCGCCTTTCAGGTGGTCCAGGTCACGAGTGGCTTGGACCACTGAGCAGACTCCCCAAACCTCCCAGCTGCTCTTTTTCGAGAAAAAGAACGATGTATCAAGGGATCTGAAGAGGTAGCTGTTTGGCAAAATCATACAGTAGCAGGTGTGATCGCGTCCAGTTCTCGCAGTGAGTTAGACTAGTAGACTGCTGCAACAAATCTGATGGTCTGGCATAAAGGAAGTTGTGTAGGTAAAAGACTTGAAGGAGTTACATCAATCCCATTAAAAGCTGCTTTGGTCCCTGTAATCCTGGAGGTTCCACAGGAAGGAAGCACGCAGACACCTTCGATCTCCCTGTTTCAGCAGCCTTTAGGCGACATTATCTCTCAATCCCCATCACTTAGGAGACCGAGTGGGCCTGAACTTGGGTGTGGGCCGGAGTACTACGCGGGGTACTTGTGACGTGTTTTCCTTACCAGCAAAAGGAATGAGGATATTGCAGATGGGCATACCTGTGCTCAGTTGAAACGAGAACATCATGTTCCGCTGCCAAGAAGCAAGACGAAAAAATGCGATATCGATATAGTCACGACGCTTTTGAGGCCTTGTGTATATATATATATATATATTATACTGTACTTAAATCTTCTCAACAACCTTGATATGCTCAAGCACTCCATCTTGGTTTGAACACGTTCTTGCCATACACAACTTCCGTTCTCCCCTTTGTCCCGCTCGCTCGCGAGCTCGCCCAAGCCCGAGTATGCCCGAGGAGCAAATTCGTGCCACGCCGGCGGCCGGAATTGCTGCGCCTGCGGCTGCAGCCATCGTTGTATGAGCCTTTGTGCTTCCCATCGGTGCAGTAGATGCTATCCATGCCGTCCCACTTCCCCTGGCTTTGCATCAGCAAAAGGCTCTGCAAAAAGATTGGTTCCAACCCAGTGAATCCATGTTTGCAATGGGGTGATTCAGGGAATTCAGGGGTCAATGTATCGAAACTCAAGGCCAATGAAGACTCCCTCCGAAGTGATCCATTGAGCAACGATTTGCCATTGTCACCTGGTCCTCAAGAACTCGTTCACCAACCCTCATTTCTGGAACTCGGTGGCACCGTTGTCCTCCGTGCAACTCAGAATTCATGCACTCGAAATGAGCAAACTCAGAATGACAACGATGATCAATTATCTGAGGCTTGCTGCTTGCTGAACATGTCGCCTTGTTTGGAATCTATATTGTTCACTCCGTACGAAAAGCCTGGTCAGAAAAGAAATATAAAGGTGTCCTCCGATTCTGGCTGACGAAATACAGCGTTTTCAAAAGGGAATCGTTGCGGATGTGTTGAAAACGCTGTCAGTCAGAAGGGAGGCATCTTGTGAGGCTCGACCAAGTCACCCGGACGATGCAACGAAAAGAAGTTGTCTGGCTGGCCGAAACTTGTGACTTTTGTGATGTCTCCCCTCCAAACATCAAGTCTGAACGCGCTTCAACCATGTTCATCAATGTTCTGATTCTAATATTTTCAAGTGGATGGTTGTTGGGGGGGATGGAGAGTAGGGATTCCCAGGTTCCGCTGCTTTCAGCCCTGGAGGCATCCATCTGCAAGCCCTGACTCCTGTGGCTTCATCCTCCAACCAGCGATCAGCTCGGATGCTATGCAGTTTTGGGCTTAGGTTGTGTGGGGATCAACCTTCGTTGATCGGCATTTGAATACATCAGCCGTCGGCCGTGCATCTATCTCGACCATATCCCATCGAATCCCATCACCGCAAGTGTTGAGGCTTCTCCCCTGGCTCAGCACTCAGTGGGGAAGATGATGACAAGTTGGACCTTCACAGCTCGGCACGCCTCGGAGCAAGCATTGATCTGCTTGATGTAGGTCCCTGGCCGGGTCCCAAAAAGGATACTCTTTGCACTGTCCCGAGCTCCATCCCTCTGACCCAGTGGTGCTGAAAGTCAAGTTAACCGAGTTCCTCCTCGATTCGCTTCACAACATCAGGTGCCGCGTGACAAGATCAGGTGCTGCGTGATGCCTTGATCGAGAAGCGTTTCATGTGGCCTTCCTTCGACTCTCGACTGGTTCCTGACCACTGCAAGTTGATGGAAAAATTCCTTCATTGGCTTCATCGCATCATTTTCCCTTATCACTCACCCGCCGGTCTTCCAACTGTGACAAGAATCCTACTCCTCTCCGCCTTTTCAACAATCACTCGTGGCCTTCATCGCACATCACCGTCTTCTCGCTGTCCTACGGCTGGAGGACTTCCCGGGGTCCACGACGGGGCGATGTGACTGGGGCCTGGCACCCACTCTGGGCCAGGTTGGCCCCTGGAACATGAACAAACACAGCCAGCCTTTTGGGGCACAGATTCGTATCCAGACACCCACACTCACTAGTTGTTCGTTTCACAGAAATCCCTCCATCGCCAGTCCTTGCTGTTGGAGAAATACTTCAAGTTCCAGTCGCCCTTGGTTCCGTCGATGTCCTTAGCGCATCGGGCGCATCGGCGTCCGGGTGAACCGAACGCCGCGGCGTTCGGCGAATCGCCTTCCTGCAAAAAGGTTTGCCTTCCAGGCATCTAGGTCACCCACACGGACATGGAGAAAACAAGACATGAAAGAAATGGAGCAAAGGTAGGGAGAGCAGGGCTAGTTCTGGAGCTGGACATGTGGATCGGCAGATCTGCAAGCCGTTGGAAACAATCATCGAACCAGGTCTTTTAGACTAGATGGGAATGCTGTTTGCATGTCGTTTGATAGTGATATGTGCAAGACCTGAAGAACGTGTCAACCCCTCATCACACGCATGGAAGGATTTGTGCCATCTGCATAATCACACGAATAACTCGGTATGCTGCCCGAGTTATGCACAATCCCATGGGACAAAACAGCTCCCAGAATCCCACACCCATGCAAAATACCAGCTCCACCAAGCTCCACGGGGTCCTCTGCTCCACACGGATCCCACATCACCCACCCGGAGTCACGACGTCCGGGGCCCGCGCCACTCCGGCAATGAGTCTCCTCACCGTCACCGCCACTGAGCCACTGGGGCATGTGGCCCATTCAGACCTCGATTCGGCGGGTGGATCGAACGAAGCACGGCAGAAATGCCTCCGATCTGAGGCGTAGAAAAGGAAGTTGACGGCTTTGGTTGGGGGCTTTTGGAGGGCTGGAGACCACACTTTTGAGGGCCTGAAGGGAGTCTAGGACAACGGGCACAAATCCATACAAATCCCTTGAATGAATTCTCTGAATTGTACAAGATAAAGAAATCCGCGAAGCATCCAAAACACGCAGCTTGCGAAACGGGCAGATAGGTCTCTGCCATTCCAAGAACTTCACTTCGCCTTCCGCACTCGATTTGCCGTAGGCACCCACCTTATGCCGATCACCGTCATAACCTCGTCCCAGGCGCCACTGGTCGCTGGTGGTCTCGGGTCCAGTGACCTCGGTACCTCCCAAGGCCTTCGCACCCATGGCGTAGTTGCCCCAGGCCTGCAAGGCACCAGGCATCCGGTCATTCGTCCCATAGGCGGGTTCTGATTCTGTGAACCGGACGGTGGAAGCAGACTGTGGAACCGTGCAGACTGAGAGACCAATCTTTTGGGGCGGAACATCAAAACAGCTCAGATTTTTCAAGAAGACCCGTACTGACCAAGAAATCCTTCAAAAGCCTTCTTACTAACGGAACCTGGAATCCCTATTAAATCTGCGTGTGAATAGCTGGAGCCCTTAAGAGCCGGTTGCCCCGGTGC